GCCTCGCAGTCGGTCTGGTTATGCACCCTGCTTCTACTCCCGCTCTCGCTCTGTGTCTGTCTGTGTCTGCTTGTCGGTCTCAGTCTGACTCTCTCTATCTCTGTCTCTCTTTGGCCTGTGATTCCTGTGACCCCATAAGCATAGATTCGTTGAGCGGCGGGCGGGGAAAAAAAATAATCGTGACCGTGAAAAAAAAAACAAAACAGCCGGCCTTTCTTTGTGGCATAGTTAGAAACGCGAGATTACCCATCGTTAGCAACAAGCATCCACTGGTGTAGTGGTGGTGCATAGAACTTGTCTCTTAACGAGGTGAGTTCGGATCTATCTATTGATGCTCTGGTGTTGATGTTACTCACAGCAAGCGCGGGCGGCAGCCGTCTCTTCCGCGCTGCGTAACGGGCGCTCCACTTACGTAAAGGATGTGCACGCGCGATGCAATCTGGGAGACCCGTGCAGACAAACTCACTTGTTATTAACTCGTGTGGAACAGCTGCAGTAGCGGTTGCCAAGGGAAGGTAGAGGACTGTCCAAGATGGGGCCAGGATCAACTGCTCAAAACAGGGGTTATTAGATCCTGTCCCCTGTTTTATCCTTCCGTGGGGAGTTGCATCTCCCCGAACCTTCAAGAACAATACTTTTCTATGCTCCACATTCGTACGTACGCATGTAGATCCTATAACCCTAGCCCACCCTGGAGATTCTCATACGCAGATACTATAAAAACCTCGGGGCTTGACAAAACAAAAGTCGAATCCGAAAATGAAAGTATCGAGGATAATTTATGGATCTCCAAAAAGACCCAATTCACCCTCCCACACCTCTCACTCGATGAGTCGCAAGACCATCGTTTGACCTCTAACAAAAGGTACCAAAAAAAAAAGTAACGACTGAGGCAAAGAGAAAACAAAAGGCACTAGAAACAGGGCGGAACCCAGGAAAAAAGAGCAAGAAAGATTGAAAGAAAGAAGGAAACAAAAGAAACGCCGTCGGAACGACGAGGAAATGGGAAACAATTGCCGTCGGAAGGTTGGGAGATAGATATGAACAGTCTGTAATCGTCGCTAAAAACACAAAGACGAAAAGAAGGAGAAAAGAAACCAACGTTAAAAGCCAGAGAAGGCACAAACAACCAAGCATGTCGTCAATGTCGGCGCGCGACGTCTTCAGGCAACGAATCGGTCACAACGTCGCCACGCGACATGTCGATATTGCGAAGAACACCCTTGCATAGGGCGCTGCCGCTGTGTACTTGTAGGCACCAGGATCCGGAGACGGCGGTTTCGACGGTAGAGTAGCGAACATCGGGAAGGGCGATCTTGACAGGTCCAGGATCGTCCAAGAAGCGGACGACGTAGAAGTCGGACGGCAGAGGTGGTCCAGAAATCTTGCCCAACCACCAGAGTCCATCTCGTGTCTTCTACCAGAAGAAGGCGCCCACAGGTAGAGGAGCGTTGGCAAAGCGACGGTCCCATGTTGAACGGGAAACAAGCGATTAGCCCGAAGGCAAAGCTCGCGCACCTTGAGCACGCGCCAATTCCCTGGTAGCGGCACCAAATGCGCATCGCACGATAACGGCGATTTGTTTGGCGATGTTGGTCAGGCGAACCTGCCCAGTACCGGAGAATGTGCGGCTTGGAGTGCTGCAGGTTCATCTCACGCTCCCAAGAAGGGCGCAGAAGGCCTTGCCAATGTGTCTGATATAAGACAGCCATCGTGCCATCACGGCCACGGACAGACTGGTGGCCACTAATACGTTCAACCTCTAAACGTTCAACCGGAGTCGACACGTCGTCATCCGTAACACCGTAGGGAGGAGATTTTTCGCATAAGAGTTCAGGACGCAAGGAGTAAGACCAGCAGGCAGAAAGCGCGGTAGGTCATCGGTGTCATGCGGGTTGGCGCAAGGCTTGCAACGCACAACCGAAACACGAGGTTTCGAGTCTTGGCCCGGCAGATCCGACGGAAGATCCAAATAAAGCAACCTGGAAGCCAAAGGACGACCGTCAGGGCTGTCAGAACACGGGCCCACAACCAAGATTTTGAAGGGGCCAGTCCAGAGTAGAGATAACTTGGCTTTAAGAACCTTATTATCTGTGCCTGAACGAACTCCTTGTCGAATAGTAGATTCGGACTAATACACCCAAACCCATCCACCAACAGTGTAAGGAGGAAGCTTATGTAAAGCGTCCGACAGAGTGGAATTACGCCGCTCAATCTACGAACCGGACACGTTATGCTGTTCACGCATTAAGTCGTAAGAACGACGTTGGCGATCAGCAGCAAGATCGCAAAATTCGAGTTGATCACGATGTAAGCTTTGGTGGCCACGAGCGTAAGGATGCTCAAGGACAATCATCGGTAAACGAGGCAAGCGATTCATATGCACCTCATTGGGCGCTAAACCGGTAGCGGCGCTAACTGAATTGTTGGAAGCAAACTCGACGTGCAGGAGATGAATGTCCCAATCATCTTGTCGTTCGATGACGACCATAGCCAACATCTGAGCCATAGTGTGGTTGACACGCTCCACACCCCCATTTCCATTGGGATGGTACGAGCTAGTAGCCACTTTGCGGATAGCAAGACGGGCATACACGGCTTGGGACAGTTTAGAGCAAAACTGAGAGCCGTTGTCAGAAAAAAGACTTAACAGGCAACCCCACAAAGGGATACACCTGTTGACAAGGATGTCAGCGGTGCCTTCGGCGGTGAATTCTGCAGCCGTAACCGCGTACAGATCAGCACGGCGGCTGAAACGGTCTGTAAAGAGCAGAATGTATGTGTTGCCACGCGGTGTCAACGGAAGGGGACCAAAATAGTCAACACTCACCGACACACCAGGGCCCGAAGGCAAAGGAAGGGACATGGTAGGCCACCGAGGACGAGACGATTTACGGGCTTGGCATCGTAAACAATGCCGCACCCACCACTTCGTACAAACACTCATGCCAATCCAACAATAGAAACGTTCCAGCATGCAAAACGTTTGAGCCGCACCGAGGTGACAGGACGCATCAGCGTGGCAGACTTGCATGATCCACGGACGCATGAGCATGGGAACATACATCCGAATGGGTTCATCGTTAAGAAGGCGAGCAGCACGTCCGCCAGGACGCGTGGTCGTGGACGACGGGGGCGCTGTTTGCTTGCGAACAGCAAGACCAAACCATCATCGTCGACATGTAACCAGCCTTTGTTAGACAGGTCACGAATCTCCGAACAAGAGGGTCGACGAGCGGACGGAACACGGTCCAAGAAATCCGAAGGGAGGACCGAAGGCCGACCCAGAAGGATGAAACGAATTGCTGCATCATACACAGGTTCGTTCAGTTGCTCGCGAGCCCAATCAGCATGCGAGAACGTTCGACGGACGCCCGGAAGGCTAGATCCGCCGAAGAATGCAAAGCCGCCTCGATAAAAGCGGGGGCTGATTCGCGAGGCGCCGACTGCAACCCATCCGAGGATAGGACAGCAGCGGAAGCCAAAGGCGAATTCGCGCGAGCGGTTGACACCAAACGCGACAAAGACTCCGAAGAGCCGGGGGCTGCAGAAGGCTGCAAAGCAGGAACAACCGCAGTTGTGGTAGGCGTCGGAGACGCAGTCTCCACCCCATGAGCCAGAGGCGCGGAGGGAGTTGAGGATAAACCACCAGCACCAGTAGTCGAAAGCGAACTGGGCAAGGCTGGTGTCATCGACGGCGACGAAGGCGCACCGCCGAAACGGTCGAGAGGGAGCGGAAATCTGCGTGGGAGATGAAGAAGGCTCATCGTCAGAAAAACCATAATCAACAGGCAGGAGTGGCGTGCCTGCCACAGCTGCCTTGCGACGACGAGTCCTGGTGGAGATCACTTGGGTGGGATCGAGGGTCCGACGCGGGTTGGCAAGGGCCGGAACGGCAGACGGAGGCTCGGGCTCGAGAGCCAAAACATCATCGAAAGACTGAGGTAGGGAACCGGACCAAACGATGGGAGGTGGATTGCGCAATCGCGACAGAGCCGAACGGCGGAACATCTCGGGCGGCAAGGGAGCGATCTTGGGCGACAAGGGAACGACGTTCCAAGCGCCANAAACATCATCGAAAGACTGAGGTAGGGAACCGGACCAAACGATGGGAGGTGGATTGCGCAATCGCGACAGAGCCGAACGGCGGAACATCTCGGGCGGCAAGGGAGCGATCTTGGGCGACAAGGGAACGACGTTCCAAGCGCCAGATGAAGACGAGAGGCCTGATGGCGGTAGACGCGGACCGTGCCGACGGAATTCAGCGAAGTCAGCCGTACAGGGGCAAGCCCACCCAAGACCGAAGTCGGGGGATTAGGAACTAGCCCACCCACGCCAATACCCGCGGCCCGATCACCGGAAGGGGCAAGGCCACACGAACGGATGAAAATCACTGCCTCCTCATCCTCAGCCGGGGTCAGACGGCTGCGACCCGAACGGTCGCATTCAGCCGCAGCGACAGGGAGGCGTGAGAGGAAATCAGCGTTGCCATTTGCGGAACCCTTGCGATACTCGAGAGTGTAATTGTAGGCGGCAAGAAATTCCAGCCAGCGCTGAACGCGGGCATTGTTCTCCCCCACCTTAGTAACCATAAGATGCCGAACACCCTTAGCAGGATGCAGCGCACCCTTCATGCGACTCGCCGAACATCTCACGGCGCTTCGCGCTTGGTGATGTGAGAGCCTGGTCCGGTGAGAACCCGGCGCGCTCCGTCCCGGCTTTGGAAGGATGCGAGGTCAATGGTCTAATGACTACGGCATGCACGACTATGAGCAAACCCCCCCACCCACCCACCTTAGCAATATGCTCGAGAGATTTGTGGTCGGTAAAAATGCGAAATATCGTATCCCACAAGTAACCGCGAAGGCGCTTGATACACCACACGATGCTACCCGTCTCGAGACAAGGAACCGCGAAGGCGCTTGATAAACCAAACGATGCTACCCGTCTCGAGATCGAGGGGAGCCCAGTGACGTGCTGAGTCCAAAGTAGCCCGACTGATGAAGACAATTGGGCGAATGGAACCATCTGGCTGTTCTTGTTCGAGATTCCCACAAACCCATCGCGACTATTTGTGAGCTCGCCAGTCTTGGGCCTCAGCGATTGCACGGAGTCCTCGACAAACTTCAGCGCGAGAGAGGGAAGCTTGGAAGTCGCCGCTTCAGCAGCCTAGCTGACACTATCCTGCTCTCGCCGTTCACGCTGCTGTTGAAGCACGTCCGACCTTGCGATGTTCCGCGCGAGCTTCTCCCGATCCCTGGCCACTGACGCCTTCATGGCCTTCACCTCTTCTTCCTTGGCCGCGAGAGCTGCTTCGGCAACGGCGGTGGCCGCCTCTCTGTTCTCCTCTGTTGTCCGTATCATCCAGGAGCTTGTTCATAGCCGTTGCATTTCTCGCGGCCGCAGCGTTGGCCCCCTTGATGGCTTTAGGCANCCTTCATGGCCTTCACCTCTTCTTCCTTGGCCGCGAGAGCTGCTTCGGCAACGGCGGTGGCCGCCTCTCTGTTCTCCTCTGTTGTCCGTATCATCCAGGAGCTTGTTCATAGCCGTTGCATTTCTCGCGGCCGCAGCGTTGGCCCCCTTGATGGCTTTAGGCAGACGGCCACTGGTGCCGCCTGTCGGTACCCGCCTACCACGCTTGGTCATGGTGGGTGCCGGAATGGCCAGGTGCCTGGTGTGGACGGCGAGTTGCTCTACAACGGCTGGCTCAAATTCAATTTTTTTTTTGGCGTTGTACGCGCTATGTTGAACAGTTTGCGACAGGTTCTATTTTAGAACCTTAGGCCACTTGTTACGCTGTCTCTTTTTGGGCTGTCCCTTTTCTCAAAAAGGGACAAATGACCAAAAAGGGACAGGATGGGGTGATCTTTTTTCGCTGGCCCTTTTCGGGAGGTTCAAAAACGAAAAAAAAGACCACGTAACAAGTGGTTTTTGGTCAGTTGTCCCTTTTTGAGAAAAGGGACAGCCCAAAAAGAGACAGCGTAACAAGTGGCCTAATACTATATTTTCCCGAATCGCAACAAGTATGCCCGCTCGAAAATTGCTGCCATGAAGTGCCTGCTTTTACCGCCGTTCACTCCGTGCTGTGACTATTCGATGGGCATGAAACCAGCGTCATTCGACAGCTGATGTAACAGGCTTTTTGTTTAACCCGACCAGTGTGTGTATTGCTTACTTATCGCGTGCAAAAGTTGCAAAAGAGTGTGTATGTTTTCAGTAGACTTTTGCGCGAGAGGACATTTTGACAGATTTTTTTTTTTGAGAGAACGGGAAGTGCCCAATTTGGTCTTGATTATTGTGTTCCACCGTAATAGCATCACAGTAACGATGAAAAGGTCGCGAGCCGTCTGAAACGGCATCCCAATCTGGATAAACCAAAACAGGAGGATTGGCCAACTTAGCTAATAAAACGCGAAGGGCTTGCTCCATCGAAGGGGTGAAGATAAACTTCTGCTTCTTTTAGAAGAGTGTGTTTTCGTCCTATATATTATGATGGCGACAGTCCCCCCATTTTTCGTCGTGAGACATGTACTACACTTTTCAGCGTATGTAGAGTACTCCACTTGTGAGTGTATTTTTTCGTACAACTACAACCATCCAGGGTCAAACAGGAGGGTGTAAACACCAGGGCTTTTTTCTTCGTTTTATTTCTTTTCATGCCCCACCTTCCTCCTGCGGTCGTGCTGANTGAAACGGCATCCCAATCTGGATAAACCAAAACAGGAGGATTGGCCAACTTAGCTAATAAAACGCGAAGGGCTTGCTCCATCGAAGGGGTGAAGATAAACTTCTGCTTCTTTTAGAAGAGTGTGTTTTCGTCCTATATATTATGATGGCGACAGTCCCCCCATTTTTCGTCGTGAGACATGTACTACACTTTTCAGCGTATGTAGAGTACTCCACTTGTGAGTGTATTTTTTCGTACAACTACAACCATCCAGGGTCAAACAGGAGGGTGTAAACACCAGGGCTTTTTTCTTCGTTTTATTTCTTTTCATGCCCCACCTTCCTCCTGCGGTCGTGCTGAAATTTATTTTTATCGCGAGAAGGGTCCAGCCGTCCATTTCCCTCGTCAACGGTGCTAACGTCGAAGCTTGGTGCTCACGAGAGCTTTTTAGCTATGTTTCGCTTTCACCCGCGAATTTCGTAAATTTTTCACCCCATGGGGATTCGAACTCACGACCTCTGCGACTAGCGGATTACGAGGATACCACTCGACCACCGGGCGGGGCGTACGGAGGAGCGTAGTCAGAGGTCGAATGCGGTTAGCCATGCTGGGGAGGAACTTACGGTAGTAGCTGAGACCACCGAGAAGGGAACGAATTGCTTGACATCCTTGGGCATAGGCATTTTGGTGAGGGCCGAAACCTTGGCACCGTTAGGCCTAACGCCGTCAGGGGAGATGGTGTGTCCGAGGAAGTCTGCTTCAGTAGCACCAATAGTAGCTTTCGGAGGCGTGAGTTTCAAGTTGTGCGTACGCAAGCGTTCAAAGAGGGCGCGTATGGTACCAACATGAGTAGCAGGTGTGTCATCAAAGACGATCAAATCATCCAAGTACGATGCAACACCGCGGAGATTTTTTATAACTTCATTGACAACTTTGCAAAACCACCCAGGGGCAGCCGAACTGCCTTGAGGCATCTTCAACCACTCGAAAAGCCCGGAAGACGTCACGAATGCCGTCAAATGGATTGTTTCGCGGTGCACCGTGATTTGGTGGAACGAAGATTTCATGTCGAAAAGGGAATAAATTCGCCCTTTCAACAACTTGTCCAAAGTATCATCGACTCGAGGAATCGGAAGCTGACTCAAAGCACAAAGCTTGTTGAGCTTGCGATAATTGACGGTGATGTGAACACCACCAGATTTCTTCGGTATGACTACCAAAGGGCTCGAGTAAGGCGAGGTCGAATGTTGGATCAAACCTGCCGCAAGACATTGGTCAAGGATCGCGTCAACTTGTTTCGCCACCGGGGGATTAACGTGATAGGGGCGAGACGTGACGGGTGCACTGCCTGGAGGAAATATATGCATAAAGGAAAAAGCGAACAAGATCCAAAGTCGGTCGGAGAACTCGAGAACACATCATGGTATTCGCACAAAACGTTACCAAGCTGAGTAATGACATCGGGAGTCCAACCCGGGCCGTGGAGATCAAAAGTAATCTCACGGAGATGGCAGGGGAGCTTATCCCGGACTTGGGAGAAACTTTGACGCTGTTCGGACGTCAACCGCTCGAGAAGAGCAGGTGAAGGCGACGAAGCGGAAGTACTGGCGGAACCAAAGTCCCCTCGGTCGCTTGGCGACGGGGCGGGTCGCTCGTGCAAAGTATACACAAAGGGGTCAGAGACGGAGTGCGTGGCAGACGAATCAACGCCACCTGTAGAAACAGGACCAGGGACCCAGCTGTCTGAAGCAGCGGTGGATTCTGAAGCCGCAGTCTTGAAGACCATCGCTCAAACTATGGCGAGAGACAGCGCTAAGAGGCACGCGAAGAAGGGGAGCCGAAGCTGTACCCAGAACGTCGTCGGGTTCGAGAGACGAGATGCCCGCAAGAGGGACTCGTTGGCAACCATTTTGTACAATATGTTCCACGGAAGAAAACATAGCACATTGGGGAAGCATATCCACTAAATAGTTACCCACAAGGGCAGGCGAGCCATCCCTGCGTACCAAATTGACCTGAATGAGGCTATGCTCTAGGTGAAGTTGAAGGGAGTGTTTGCCTGCATAGCGAAGTTGGTAACTTGCATCCGTTGCGGACAGATCGTGAGCAAATGCAGTGGCACCACAAGTGTCATGTTGGGCTAATGTAAGCTCACCAAAGACACGGTCACCAGGACGATACGCACGCAAAGTGCGGAAAGAACGTTCACTAAACCGCATCCAACTATCTCTGCCGAGGAGCACGTCATGATGCATGACGCCGTCAGGAACAACGTATGCCCAAACAGCAAGAGAAGAAGTAGGAAGGTACTGACGGAGAAACTGAACACTCAAACGGACCATAGTCGAAGTTTGAAGCGGCGCAGATTTCCCAAAACCACCCCAACAGCGAGGTTGAGTGTGTTTCTCAGACAAGGTCGAAGCAGCCGAAGCCACTTTCATGAATCCCCATGCAGAAGCACTAATAAAAGACTGCGGAGAACCCGTATCCAAAAGAGCGACACACCCAAACTGCACAGAGGCCGAACCGCTGTGGAGGAGGATTANTCAGGAACAACGTATGCCCAAACAGCAAGAGAGGAAGTAGGAAGGTTCTTGCGAAGAAAGTAAACACTCAAACGGACAATAGTCGAAGTTTGAAGCGGCGCAGATTTCCCGATACTACCCCAACAGCGAGGTTGGGTGTGTTTCTCAGACAACGTCGAAGCAGCCGAAGCCGCTTTCATGGATTCCCATGCAGAAGTACTAATAGAAGATTGCGGAGAACCCGTATCCAAAAGAGCGACACACCCAAACTGCACAGAGGCCGAACCGCTGTGGAGGAGGATTATGGTGGTGAAAGAGTCGTCATCGATGGTGACAACACCACCAACCAAATCCGGACCTTGCTCTGGGAGCGAGGAGGAGGACGACGGCATGTACCGGGAAGACCGGCCCAAACTGCGGTGTCGTGATCCGACGGAANAGACAACGTCGAAGCAGCCGAAGCCGCTTTCATGGATTCCCATGCAGAAGTACTAATAGAAGATTGCGGAGAACCCGTATCCAAAAGAGCGACACACCCAAACTGCACAGAGGCCGAACCGCTGTGGAGGAGGGTTCTGGTGGTGAAAGAGTCGTCATCGATGGCGACAACACCACCAACCAAATCCGGACCTTGCTCTGGGAGCGAGGAGGAGGACGACGGCATGTACCGGGAAGACCGGCCCAAACTGCGGTGTCGTGATCCGACGGAACATTCGGGGCGTATTGCGAAAATGACGCGAACCGGTCGGTCGATGGAGGGCACGAAGCCGTCCGAAGGCGCTGGAATCTGAGGATGTCCGGTGATCGGAACCAGGGGGACAAAGCGATTCGAAGCCAGACGAATTCGACCCTAAAACTTGCCGGTCGGAACCAGTCAAGTTAGCTATCGGTGCAACAGTCGAAGGCGAACCCTCAACGGAAGCGAGCATAGACAAATTGGGCGTATCCGAAGAAGCACCTGAGGCAATCAATTCGGGCAATTCCTCATCAATCGTCCAAAGCTCATGGCTACTGCCGATCCTATCTGCAGACGACGGGGGGAGCGAACGAGAGGTGCTCGACGAACGAGGAGAACTCAATGGCCCCAAAGATCCGACGGGTCTGTTCCCGCATCTCGAGACAGCACTCACGTCAGACTGATTAGTTTCCGACGAAGCAGCAATCCGACGAGGCGAGGGTGCAGAGGTTGCAGACGATAAGTGCGATGGCGAAGGCGGGATGTGAGCATTTGGCTGAAGACCGACCTGATCGGCACTTGAGGAAACAGCGTGTACCTGAGTACCGCTGTCATTGGATAATACCGAAGTGCGAGAGTGCGTAGGGAGAACATTCATCGATTTATTGCTGTGATTGGGCAGGACCGAAGTGCTAGAGACAACAGAGCGCGTAGGGGTAAGCAGTACCGAAGTAGAGTTGTCGTTACGTAAGACCGAAGTGCTAGAGGCAACTGAGGGTGATACGCGCGCGTCTTGTGTTGAGCGAGGCGAAGTTCCCAAAGATGCTGGAGGCGGTTCGAGGGAAGGAGGCGAACCGCCGTCGGGGAGTCATCCGGTACGTGAACGGCCGCCATTGTGGAAGTTACCAGGTTGGCGTGCGTTGTGATTGGTCAAACCATGACGCCAGACGAGGGACGAGTTTGAGCATGCGATTGGGGTTGATAGACGGACAGAGCACCAGTGTGGTGGGTGTTGCCAGACGTCTGTTGTGTATGATGATGGTTACCCACGGAATGTCCCGCGGTTTGACCACCGTGGTGTGATTGGTGGTGATTGTAAGAGGAACTACCACCGTCGGAACGGCGAGGCCCAGCGTGGTTTCTACGCTGAGAGGAGGAGGAGGAAGAAGACTGCCGGTGGCGTCTACCCTGATTGTTATTGCGGCCATCTGAACCCTTACGCCAGAAGGATCGCACGCGGCCTTGCCAACGCCTAAAGGCAGCAGAGTCGTCATTGAGGTGGCCAAACTCGGGATTCAACAACCCACTAGAATTCGTGAAGGGAGAAGCACATTGCTTCATGGAATGGTCATCACCCGAGTAGTTCAGACAGCGGTTTCTGTTTTCGCGGAAGGCTTGCGATCGAGCCTCTTGTGTCAACAAAGGAGTCCATAAAAGAGGATCATCGGTGTAACGAAAACAAGCGGTGAGGGCGTATACATCAGACCAGTCGGCTTGCGAAGCAGGCCACGAGTTGTAGTCGTGCGTGAAAGGATCCGCGACTTGAGGTTGCACGGGCAAAACTACAGGGTTCTGTGCGGAGCCGGATGCCCACTGGCCCGAAGACGCAGGGGCGCGGTGGTTAAACCGCCGAGGCTGCGAAGAGCCACGCGTCGAAGTCAACGAGAAATAAGATGAACCACCAATAGCCGGGGTTTTATTAGTCACCAAAGGCGCGAACGCCTCCCACATAACTGCAATTAACTCGAAGGGAGTGACCGCAGTGGCCAAAGCACCCGGGTACAAAAGTGGAGACAGACTTGGAAATTGCTTGTCGGCCGAGTTTCGCACTATTTCGAGAAGCATGGATACACTAGGGGTCAAAGTACGCTCAGAGCCAGTCACAGACGAAACCAACAACCGGAAAGCCCGAAGATAATCCGCGAAAGGAGTACCATCTGCTACACCAAATTGTTGCAGCGCAAAAACGACTCTTGGCGGTCTCCGACGTCAAATTGCTCCGCCAGGTGGCGCAACAGTAGCTGGAAAGCGCCTGGTCCAGGGGCTCCTCCATCCAAGCTCCGTTTCACTCAGTGACGGCAAGGACGAGATCGGCGGTAGAGGGCTTGTCAGGGGTGATCGCACTCAAGAGTTTTTTTTCGAGAGGACGTTCCCATCCACGCACAAAATCAGTGCCTGTCAAACCTTCACTCTGCTCGTCACACAACAGCAAAACATCGGACAAAGCCGTTCTTATTGTGCGAACAAGCTGCTGATAGCCGTCTCCCGGCAACAGAGTAGCGGAGAAGGGCATGGTAGCGACATTCTCAACTTTTTTCAAGTTGAGGGTGATGTACGCTCGTTGTACTGTAGCTACATGAGCATTACGAGCAGCTGCATCAGTCGCATCGATCGATGCTTGACGAGTGTGTGCCGTGTTAGAAGAAAGTGGCAAGACAAGATCATCGGAAACAGCAGGGGGTGCTGCGACGGCTACCGAAGCAGCTGTGGAAGCATGGTCTGAGGACAACATACAACGCGAAACACCTGGCACAGGTGGTACAAGCGCCGAAGGGGGGTTGAGGTTCGAAAACCCATGGTTCTGCATCAGTCGTGGATCTACGGCATGGCGAGCGGTAGAAAGGCTACGGGGTGCAGAGGTTTCCAAAGAAACAGGGGCGGCCGAAACCGGGGCTGAGTTCGAAAACTCAACGCTACGTACACGTCCGGAGTCTACAGCATTGAATGCGGCAAAAGGGACAGAAGGCGCAAAGGGTTCCGAAGAAACGGGGAAAGCCAAAGGCGGGGGAAGGTCCGGAAACGCAACACGACGCAAACGCCCTGAGTCTGAGGAAACAGGGGGGGCCGAAACCGTACCAACAACCGAAGTTGAGGGGGGGACCAAAGCCTGAGAAAAAAAATCATCATGTAAAAGGAAGTGATCACTCAACGTCGCACCCATAAGGGACGGGACAACTTGCCTGGAAGAAGAGCCCTTCCGAGCGCCGTGCTTCCGGGTGGGACTCCGGTCTGAGCCTGAGCCCGATCCGCCTCCACTGCGACGAGTCCCGCTCGTGTGGCGCTTGGTCTGCTGCCGTGCCCGGCCATCGCCCGCCGATGAAGATGGCTCCGGGGGGCGGCGAGACGCTCCCGCGAAACTCCAGCCCGAGTCCTCGCCCGAGCTACTCTCTCGCACGGTGCGCTGGGCCGGCTTGGCCTTGACGCGGCCGGCCTTGGGCTGCTAGAACGCCGAAGACGCCGGAGCCGCCACGGTGCAGCCGGGCCACACCACCGGAGATGTTGCGTTCATGGTGGCCGCCCGCATCGCCACGAGAAGGCAGCTCACCACGTCTTGGAGGTCGGGCCGAGGCCCGTTTGCCACGTCGGCGACGTCCTGGATGGAGGAAGCCGACGGGAGGGCGGTGGACACGCCAGCCGCTAGATCCATGACGGCCTTGCGGTCGTACTGGGCGTACCTGGCAACGTCGGACAACCTGGCCTGGGTGAATCTAGCATCCCCTGCCTCGAAGGTGACGGAGCGCGTCCGTGATGAAGACCGAGTCACAGGGCTGGAGGCGGCAGCGGCGTACGTCCGAGCCACCGATCCCGACGGAGCAAGAGGGGCAGCACGGGCCGGTCCCGGCACGGAGCGCCCCGCCCGAACCCGAAGATCGTGTTCGCGCTGTTGATTAGCGCGGGCCTGCTCGGCGACCAACGCGTCCTCCTGGCGGCGGTCGTCGGCGAGCTTGGCGGCCAGCAGGGCCTCTTCCCGTTCTTGCGCTTGTTTCCGCTGGGCGTAGGCCAAGATGGTATCGGTGTTGGTGGCGCGGCGCGCACGGTACACCGCGATTTTGGCCTGGCGTTCAGAGGTCTCTTTGTTGAACTCGGCGTCGAGCCGAGCGTTGCGGTCCCGCAGAGCCGCTTCACGGTCGAGGTCGACCGCCTCGCCCGCTTCCTGGCGAACCCGGGAGGAGAGGGCCAGCAGCCGCTGGTCGTCGGTCATGCAGTCCCACAGGATTGAACAAACCCAACTGGGGCGCTGCGGAGGTGCCGACGAGGTCGGGGGTGCCGCCGAAGCCGCGGGCGCCGCCGAAGCCGCTGGGGCTGCCGAAACAGCGGGGGCTGCCGCAACAGTGGGGGCCGCCGAGGCAGCGGGGGCAGCTGAAGTCGCAGTTGCCGCCGAAGCCGTGGAAAGCGGGGCCAGGGGGACGGGCGACGCCGGGCGGGGGGTAGCCGAAGACCTCTCGCCGGCGCCAGCGGTCGTTGCTCGGATCTCAGGGGTGGAGACGGCTCCACCAGCGAGGGAGGCCGCCTCAGGCTTGACCACAAGCTGGGTGGCGACCGTGGTAGATTATCGGAGGAGGTCGCGAAGACGACGGTTGTCATTTTCTGCCATTTCAAGAAGGGATAAGGCAGCGGAAGTGGCGGCACGTTCGTGTGAGGAGGAGAGCATGGGGGGAGGTGGAGGCACCGCAATATGAAAAATAACAGGTGCATCGGCAGAGGGTTCTGCAGGAGTAACCGAGGTTACTGCTAGAGGAGCCGAAGCCGCAACTAGCGTGGGAACAGCAGTCGACACGGCAGACATAAAGAGTCGGCCGTGGGTACACGTGCAGCAGTGAGGGATGCAGTCCGAGACGAAGCTACTGGCACGGCAACTGCTGGGTTAATGATAGATGAATGTGTACACCGGACGCCCATAGGGCGAACACTGGGAATAGCCATCATTGGGGGCAAAGGCGGAGCTACAGGAATCGATGCAGCAGAGGCAGTCGAAACTGCAGGCATTCGACGGAGCTACTGAAGCCCATGCATTTGAAACAGTCGAAACTGGGGCTGGCAGTGGGGAAGCTACGAGGACAAAGGTAGCGGAAGCGGGAGATGCTGCAGACATATGGGGAGCTACTGCAGCAGATGGTGGGGCAGCAACCGAAATTGCTGTTTAAGTAGTCGAAACTATAGAAAGAGGGGCATCAAGACCAAGGGAAGCAGCCACGGCAGTCGAAACGACAGGAGCAGATGCAACGGGGGCAGTCGAAACTACTGAGACGATTGCATTAGAAGCGGTCGGAGCCGCAAAGGCAGTCGAAACCGCCGGAACAGGTGCATGTGAAGCAATCAAAACCAAAGGCACTGATGCCACTGAAACGGATGCATGACGGTCATGAAGTCGTTGGGCACGAGCGGCGGCTTGTGTACGACTGCTACGCGACGAAAAAGGAGGAATGGCCGGCACAGTGTAATCGAAATGCAGTGTGCGGCCAACAGCAGAGCCATGAGGCAAGCGTGGCACTACAGAGCCAGTATTGCCAAAGTCAATGTCTGCCCCAACAGCAGAAGGCTCAGCGGCGGTGAAGGTGAGAGGAAAAGTGCAATCAGCAACATGTGGTTCCGGCGGGAAAACTTGGGACACACCACCAGCGGCTGCAAAAACAGAAGGCTGGGTACTCGAAAGGACAGAGGTGGAAACCGAAGCTTGCGCTGTGGATGCAGGCAATTTGAGGACAGCACCCACGGGGTTAGCGTCAGTAGAAGCCGTGGAGGCGAACTCCTCCCGTCGGCGCTGAGCGCGAAGCTCTGACAAACGGGTGGCTTCTATGATGGGGTCAGCAGCGCGCGCGCCATCAAAAGACTGCAGCAACGACGATTGGGAATCGTCGGCTGTCGGCCCGAAAGCCGAAGCACTGAGTGGAGACACCGGCGAGCGAGAACACTCTGAGGGCTCTGGACTGACCGAGGCCGAGTCCGAGGAGTCGACGCTAAATTGAGACATACCGATCAGCGAGGCAAAGCTAAGTTGTGTGGAGACCAAAGCGCAGAAAGCTGCGTGCAGCAGCAGGCGCGAGCCGCCCAAACAAAAACCCCAGAAAGCACGCTGTACGTTTATGCCGACGACGCCAAGTGTACAGAATATGCACGCGCGGTGCAATCCGGGAGACCCTTGCAGACAAACTCACTTGTTATTAACTCGTGTGGAACAGCTGCAGTAGCTGTTGCCAAGGGAAGGTAGAGGACTGTCTAAGATGGGGCCAGGATCAGCTGCTCAAAACAGGGGCTACTAGATCCTGTCCCCTGTTTTATCCTTCCGTGGGGAGCTGCATCTCCCCGAACCTTCAAGAACAATACTCTTCTATGCTCCACATACGTACGTACGCATGTAGATCCTACAACAGTTGCGACCAACAACTCCAAAATTTAATAATTTGAATAAAAACACAAGTATATATATATATTGCGCCCCCATAACTGAAAACAAGGGGGATGATCACACCACGTTGTGTTAAAATGGTCAAGCACCCTCGAGGCAGTTACACAGTGCTTACAACTGTCTCAGGAAGTGAAATCACCAGAGAATAAATTAAGTCATACGCAGCTGTCATCCGTACGCAAGGAAGTAAGCACAAGATGCCGAACACCCTTAGCAGGATGCAGCGCACCCTTCATGCGACTCGCCGAATATCTCACGGCGCTTCGCGCTTGGTGATGTGAGAGCCTGGTCCGGTGAGAACCCGGCGTGCTCCGTCCCGGCTTTGTAGGGATGCGAGGTCAATGGTCTAACGACTACGGCATGCACGACTATGAGTACACCCCCCCCCCAACCTATAACTGAAAAATGTGCGTCCCCGAAAGTGAAAATTAACTAATGCCCAAAGGTACATATGAACGGCCAAGTTATTTTTCCATAATTTGAAAAACTATTTTCGTATTACTTCGAAAGTACCAAGTTACTCGTGTAATTTTTAATTTCTGCGTATTTCGACGCACAGACTTTACATTTTAGGTAGTCTACACTTCAATTACAGTCGTGCCTTTGGATCGGTGTTGCCTTCGTTGTTTCTGTATCTCGCCTTGATATGAAATGGAAGCCTCAGGGAGTCCTTCTGTTCGCCAGGTTGCAAGATCTTGGCCACGCAGGCAAGTCGGTCGTACAGCCGGAACCGGAGGTACAGAGTAGATCACGAACATCGTGTTCACGGCTGGTATTCGTGTCGTCGTCCTCTTGGTTGGTGTGCCCTGGGGGCAAACAAGGACAACGTCTGTAAGCACAATTAGATGCCGGGGTTGACATGCATCTATCTCCGGTACAGCGACATACACCAGCGGACCCACACGAGACAGAAATAGAGGTCAGTACCTTGACAACACGCAGACTAAGACTGGGGTAAAGCAGTGTTACTCGAACTTGCTTGTTGGAGGAGATGAGGATCATGACCATCAGGCGGAACAAGACAATCGGAGATTTCGGAGATTTCTCTCCCTCGCACGACCCCCTATACCAGAGGCAAATAAACAAATAGTCAATAAATGGATATTGTTTGTGCACACGGACAGCTTGTTTCACCTTGTCACATCACGTGCAAGGCTTGTCACATCACGTGCAACGATCTGCCTTTCGAAGGCCACCACTGCTGGTGCAGCACCCCGGCCTTGGTTTGTCTTGCCTTTGCCTTTGGCAGAAGGGACGTGCAAACAGGCAGAAAATGAACGGAGAGAGATGCGGCGAAATCAAAGTTTTGAAAGTGTCGCCAAGTGCCGAGTCATGTAGCTCGTTGCCCTCTCGCGGTTCAAACAATCAATGATGTGGCCTGTGGTCACCTTTCGACGAGCGCGGATGGATATGCAAAAACCTCAACGGCACCCTGAACTTCATGCCCTGTCTCTGGTTGCGCCACGATATGGCACAGCACAGCAGCAGCAGCAGCAGCAGTTGCTGAAAGACTGACTGAGACATACGCATCAAAACGACTGGATCTACAGCAGAGCAGCAGCAGTTATCTGGAATCCTCTGTGATCCTTGCATATCGCCGTGCATAGTTCACAAATCTATGTACCTTGCCTGCTGTACGCCCTGTCTCGACTGAGAGTGTCTACGGACCATGCAAACTCTTGGCATGGCTGCTGCTGTAGCTTCTAGAAGACGCGGCTGGCGCTTACCGAAGAGAGGCGAGAACCAGAGATGCCAGGAACGAACGGGCCGCCTCTCTTCTTGTCCTCGATGTTTTCATGTCACCAGGGCTTGAATGACTTGCGGCCTGGCCCTTGTGGAACGTGGAGGCCGAAGAGCCAGCAGACAAAAAGAGAAGTGGGTTACAAGCAGGGTGTGGAGTTCGGCGTGAGCGTCTGCCATCCGCTCGGCGGAACGGGTGCAGTGAGGTGAAGAAGACGAGGCAAATGATGTGCTAGACTATATAGTCTAGGTCTATAGTCGACGGCTGATCAGCAATGTCTGTCTGAAGGTTCAACGCGTACAACATGGGGATGAAACCGGATTAGGAGGTTCAAGCAAGTCACACTGCTGTGCGTGTGTGTGTTTTTATTATTAGCATCGACCGCGCTAAACGGCTGACCAATGAAAAGACGTCAGTCTCAGTGCGGTTGACAACACAGAACACTTTTATCTGCCATGAACTGGGACCCCGTGAGGGGGCAGCATGGGGGAGGCTAAGCTATCCTTCGGATCCAAGACGTGTGTGTGTTTTTATTATTAGCATCGACCGCGCTAACCGGCTGACCAATGAAAAGACGTCAGTCTCAGTGCGGTTGACAACACAAAACACTTTTATCTGCCATGAACTGGGACCCCGTGAGGGGGCAGCATGGGGGAGGCAAAACTATCCTTCGGATCAAAGGCAGAAACAGCAGCAACAGAAGAAAACTGCATGTGTCTACCGAGGCTACTACTTTGTACTCGAGTTCGTTTTAGAGTACTTTCACCAATATCCTCCTTGTGCTCGCTACCATCATTCTGATCCTCATTTTGACAAGAATCTCTGAGCAGTTCTTCCCTAGTCCTACGTTTTTTCTTTTTGGGGAGGTCATCTGGCTCAAACCCTTTGCTCTTTTCCACTCCTCCATGTTTTCCTCCTCCATCGTCGTCTTCGTCCTCCTTTCTTCACTTTCTCTTTCCTTCGTCTCCGTCACTCCCAGTAGAATTACCCTCATTACCATCGTTGTCGCAGAGATCCCAACCGATTGGCCCTCGTGGAAGTTGGTCGATCAGTAGCCCATGACGTTTGAACATACNCTCCATGTTTTCCTCCTCCATCGTCGTCTTCGTCCTCCTTTCTTCACTTTCTCTTTCCTTCGTCTCCGTCACTCCCAGTAGAATTACCCTCATTACCATCGTTGTCGCAGAGATCCCAACCGATTGGCCCTCGTGGAAGTTGGTCGATCAGTAGCCCATGACGTTTGAACATACCGCGAGGTCGCATCGACAGAAAACGAGCTAGCTCGAAGGTAAACCGTCTCCGAATCCTGGAAGTATGAAAAGCTTTCAGGCGGACTAACGCTCTTTCGTCGTCGAATTCCCCCCGGCAAAAAGCGTCGTGCGCCAAGCGGTTGGCGATAGCAACGATGAATCGATTGGTGCCTTTGACAAGACTACCAATCGTTGAAAAAGCAGCAGTAAGGAGGGTAGATCTAGACGGGTTGAAAGTTCCCGCTTAGTGATTTGCCTTACTTGCGGCTCGATCTTCGAGGGCGGATCCTGGCTTTTGCATCGACTTGTCGATGCTTCGACCTGCGGATGGGTTGACAATTGTTACGTCTATAAGAATGGACTTGGTGCAGAGTGGGTGTGTGAGTTTTGTTTCAGGTCAACATCGGTCTGCTTTTGTTGCCTCTCGTTTTGTAGCCATATAGCGCCCTATCGCACCACAAGCTGCTGACTATCTATATGCAAAGGCAAAGCAAGGATAGTTTTTACTGGTGATGATGCAGAGCTTCGCCCGACCATCGCCGGCAGTTCTTTTGAGAGAGAGCGCCAGTGGACGAGAGCGGCGTCTCTTTCTGGGTTCGATTTTTTAGATCTTGAGTGGACGAGCCTCTGACGCGCCAAATCCAACCTTCGCCACCCAGAACGGGGAAGGAAGTCAACAACACGGAAAGCGGCGATGTGCCTCTCTATGTCTTCCGCACTCCCGGCCGAGAGGATGAGAGAATTCTGAGAGCCCTGAGAGTGCGGGAAGCAATTCAGCCCACACATGCAATTCTTATCTATTCGCACCTTGTCCACCACCCACCGCGCGGTGCGAGGTATATATGTAGCTTACGTTGAAGAAGAGGTGCACTGCCGAGGCCTGCGTCTTCACCCTCATCGCGAGGAGGATCGGGCTCTGGCACACCAGCGAGGACGACCGTGTGGTGCTGCGATGGTTCGATCTTGGGCGCAGCTTGATCTTGAGGACGCTCGGTGGAGGGACTTTTGTTGGTTGCTGGTTGAGGAAGGTGGGGAGACGAAAGAGCGAGCCGAGGGGGGCAACATTTTTGTTGAGCTTGGTTGAGCGGATCATTTTTTTTTTGTGGTGGCCTCCATACACACGTGCTAGACGGTGATTGGCCGTCACCGCCTTGCGCGGATGATGTCACCAAAAGAATCTTGAGACGGGCACCTCGTACTTGATTGTTACATATGCATACCACTTGTTATGTGACTGCTGTGTACATCAAAAACAAATGTCTTCTTTTCATCGTGTGTGTTGGCCAGTCAGTTTTGGCATGCAACCCCGCTCTCCCAGGAAAACTCCGTAAAAAAATAAGACCTCTGCAGCGAGCGGTGGTGGTAGTACATGCTGCTGTATTCAAGGGAACGGCTGTATGAGGAAGGTAGTATCCAGCTGGGTATTATCTGCATTTACTTATTTATGTGTGCGTTTCTATGTACAAGTGAGAAAGGATTTTATCTTCTCGTCAAAAATGAACGCATGCTCTTCTTGCATGAACGGCAAAGGATGCCGCTTGCTTGTTGTGCTTGGCGAAGAACCAGAGCTCTGA